CTAGCTTCTATTTGTACGACAGAAAATACTGTTGTTCAATTTTGTATTGTTTCAATTTTCAAAAGGAAAAACCTAGGCTGCTGATTATATTTAACTAAAAAGTACCACAATACTGCAAAACAGAAACTCCACTGCATTTTCAGTTGCTAGTCAGTATCATGATCAGCATTTTTCTGATAATGTAAACCCACTATGCAGACACTAGTTACACATCGAACTAATATAGATATAATTGTCCTCCATAACTCTAAATTATAAAGACATGTTTTCATTAAAAGTATTATTATTCTCATTTATAAAAAGGTAATCCTATACAGATGAATGAATTTTATAAATGAAAATTAGTTCAATAAATTTATGTTTTAATGCACAGTTCTATACTTTGGGATTCTCAGTTAATTTTTATTTGACAGAATGGCTCTATAGAGCTCTCTGTTATGACTTGAATAGATTCTTATTACTCTACCTCAAGATATTTTTGCCTAGATTTTTTTAGAGCTGTTTTTGGCACACTGTAAAACTTGAGCAGAAAGCACCGAGTTCTCATATACCTCTTTCCTTCCTCCTCTTCACAGCCTCCCCAACTCCCACAGCCCCCAGTAGGGGGTAAATTGTTCTAAGCAGTGACCCTGCTTTGACGTATCATCCAACCTTTGCCCTTGGTGTACCTTAGGGCTCACACTTGGTATGTACCTTACATGGATTTGGATAAATATACAGTGTCATGTATCCACGATGACAGCATCATACAGAGTGCATTTAGTCTTAAAAACCTGTGTCCTACCTGTTCATCCCTCCCACCTGCAAATCACTGATTTCTTTATTGTATTCACAGTTTTGTCTCTTTCAAACTGACACATAGCTGGAATCAAAAGTATGCTGTCTTTTCAGTTTGCTTTCTTTTACTTAGCAATACACACTAAGTTTCCCCCATGCTGTTTCATTGCTTAATAGCTCATTTTTAGTGCCAAATACTATTCTAATATACGGACTGCCACAGTTCCTTTTTCTAATCACCTTCTGTTGTGGGTTGTGTCAGATGTCCCCCAAGAGCCACACGTGCTCAGAGATGGGGCTTTTGAAAGGGGAGCGAGTCATGGGGTTGCCAAGTGTGATGTTAGGAGGAGGGGCCTGCTCAGAAGAGGTGGTCGCCGTGGGTCACTACGACCTTGTAGAGTGCACCTCCTTCCGCAGCTCCGCCTTGCACTCTGCTTCCTGACCACCATGATGTGGTAATCGGTTTTCCTCGGAGGCAGACTCTTTCCCCATGCTGCTTCTGCCTGGAGCCAGCCAACTATGGACTGAAGCCTCTAAAAAACATGAGTCAAAATAAACCTCTCTTCCTTAACATGAGGTGTCAGTGTCATCCATAATGAAAATGACTAAAACACCGAAGGACATCTTGGTGCTTCCAAATGTTGGCAATTATGAATAAAGCTTCTGCAGCACTTCTTCTGTCCAGGTTTCTGTATGAGTTCTCAATTCACTTGGAAAAAGGCCAGAGAGTGAGTAAAAATTCTGATTCATAAAGGGAAAATATATTTAATTTTGTCAGAAACTACCCAGAGTTCTGCAAGGAGCTGTACTATTGTGCATTCACAGGAGCAAGGCATGAGAGCTCCTGCTGCTCTGTACCCACCCGAACTTGAAGCTCCAGGGTGTGTTGCTCTGGCTGCTCTGGCCAGCGCAGCGGTGACGTCCAGCTCTGTTCTCATGGAAACTCTTCTGTTGTGCTGCCAAGCCCACGCTGGGTCGCCGTGCTGTCTGATTTTCAGATGGCTGAGCTTTGATCTGCCTACTGTTAGAAGTGCCCCTTCTGATACTGTACGTAAGACTCTTCATCCCTGGGTTTTATGTTCACTCTGTCCATCCCCAGCACCACACCACAGCAGGGACATGGATGCAAATGAAGTTTACCTTACAAACCACTTTCCTAACTAAGATTTGATGCCACGCTAATCCTCAACTAAGTCCAGAAAGGCATTCCTGATAGCTACGATTTTAGGTAGAATTTACCTCAGTGGTGTTCCTTGTGTGAGTTCTCTTAAAGAATGCAAATTACTTCATTTCTCTAAAAATACTCAAAACAACCCACACAATCTCTTTTCCTTCCAACAGGATTGCAGACCCCATATGCAGGTAATCAGCTTGAAGAACAGAAAGCTTAAAAGGCTTTGTAAAATATTTAGGCACATTTTTGAAGCACGAGGGAGTGAGAGAAACTATCAGGGGAAGAGATGAGAATTCTAAGCAAGACACCTGCATTGGAGCGCAGGGGCTGTGCCAGGCTCTGCCTCCGGACTTGGGCTCTCAAGGGTCCCCACAAGCAAGGAACAGGACAAGGACCTGGACTGGTTCCTACAGTGGGAGAAATGATCAGAAACTCATCCTAAAAGGAGATGCCTTGTTCAGCTCTGGCTATAGAAACAATGTAAAACCAAATATTATTTTTCCACCATACAAATTTATAACCACACATCTCTACCACAAAGGCATGTATGCAGCTAAAATTCACAACATCTATATGGTCCAGGTATGCAGGTTTAAACTTTAAAGTGATAAAAAGATCAACTACTGATACATGTACCAAGATGACTAAGTCTCAAGACTTTCTGCTGAATGAGAGAAGTCAGGCATACAATATGAAATACTGAAAGACACCATTAATCTGTCGTAGCAGAAAATCAGTGATTGCCGTGGCAAAGGGTATGATAATTGCTTGAAAACACGTAAAAGAGGAGCTTGGGGATGTAGTTCAGGGGTAGAGCAGGTGCTTAGAATGTGCAAGGCCTTGGCTTCAATCGCCAGTATTCTCTCCTCAAAAGAGCTGCAAAGGAGAACCATCTCGAGGGGATGAGCGAGGCCCAAGTCTTACATGCAGTGGTGTTTACACAGTCATATGTAATCTGCACTGAACGTTTTCATTGAATTCATTGAATTGTACTGCATAAACGTATACTTCAGTGACAGGGATTTACAGAGGAAATCACCGGCATAAATTCCACAGAGTGTCAATGAGTTATTAGTATGGGTTGAAAACCCCAGGCACTGTGTGCTTGGCAGCGGGTCTGATGATTGATAGCGTTACTTAGTTTAATAAATTAGAATTAAAACATAAAAGTGAGGTGATAACTGTCATCAGGAGAGGCGGAACAAGCTGTCTTTAGAAGAAACCCTCTTACATGCAAGACTCAGCCACAGAGAAAGTCTCAGAAAACATGAAGCCAAATTAGTAAACGACTGAGCAACAAATGGTGCAAATCCTTCCAACAAAAACATCAGTATTTCTGAAAATTTAAACAAAAAGATGTCACTGAAAATTTGGTGAAGAAATCACAGGCTGTCAAGACTGCACTCAAGATCAGAAAAAGTAACAGAACAGAATGTCTAATAATGAAATTACACACTCAGTATGAGTTCACAGCATATCAGGGCATTGGAGAGATCAACAAACCCAACTTGGGTTCACCAAGTAGCCATGAACGCACAATCAGTCAGAAACATTGTGCACATGTCTCAGACTAACTTACAAAGCACTAGATAAGATGGGTAGCTATGTAACTTTTCAATAAATAAAACCCAGATCAACTGACTCCACACAAAATTTACTAGACATCACAGACATTTGTGTCCCTTTGCTAGTTCTCCACCATTGGTGTTATCAACAAATACAATAAGTTTAGATTCAACTAATGAAACTATTTTTATATAAAAATACTTTTACCCAGTCAAGATCAGCAAGTCAAATTTTGCTTTCAATTGTGTCCTTTCAAAGATCTAAATATTGTTGTTTTTTTTTTGTTTTTTTTTTGTTTTTTCCGGTACCGGGAATCGAACTCACCACCTTGTGCTTGCCAGGCAGGTGCTGTGCTGCTGAGCTAAACCCCCAGTGCCAAAAGATCTAAATATTAAAACAGAAACACTAAATCTACTGAAGGAGAAAGGAGGTAGAAATCTTGAAGACATAGGTGTAGGCAGAGAGTTCGTGAACAAAACCCAGACTGCATGGGAATTACTTCAAAGAATCAACAACTGGGATCTCTTCTTATTAAAAAGTTTTTGCACATCGAAACCACCAACAGAGTGAAAAGAAAACCCATGCAATGGGAAAAAATTTTAGCCAACTGTCCATTAGACAAAGGTTTTTATCTAGAACATATAAAGAATTTTAAAAAATCAGGCCCCCAACTTTCTTAACCCGAAGTGAATTGTAACATATGGTCACCCCTTGTTTCATGAAAATGTCTGACTTGCATTAGGTTTATTTCTAATGTTCTGCACGTAATTTTTAAAAGACCCAGTAAAGTTAATTGAATTTTTATGTTTCATCCATAATTACTTATGATTAATACATTTAAATGAACACCTTAAATTCAACAGCTATATTTCCATATTGACCTTTACTTAAGAGCTTTCTAAGCAAATAAATTTGATATTTGATATTGCATTTTATATTTACTCTTGCATTTAATATTAGACACTGTCTTTAAGAATTTGCAGATTGCTAGCTATTATGTAAACCAAAAGTAAAACGTTCAAAGATAAAATACTGTAAAAATTTTATCTTGGAATAATTCAGTAAGACAAATATATGTAAAGGGAAATGTTTTATCTCCCTATATAAAAGACAAACCACTTCTCCTTAAAATAATAAACCTAAAAATACTGCAAAGTAATTTCTGTATACTTCCAAATAATATGTATGGATCATTAGCATACATATTATGGTAAGTCATAGGGTCTGATGTCATGAATTTATGTATCTGTCAGTACTACCGTGTATGGTTAAGCGGCTCACCATTCTGCCACAGTTGTCTATTTTGAAACATAAAGCCTATGTAACAAACTCTAGCATAAAAATAGCCAGGCACCAATTCTAAAACCAGTATCAGTCTTCTTTGGTTGTACAGCAACACTGTCACCAGTCACGTGATTTTCCCAGAAGCCTGCACCAGAGCAGCTGCTCCCCACTCAGCATCTGACCCCAAGAAGGTACTCACAGCTGGAGAAAATCAGCGGGCAGGAGTGCTCATCCATGGGGAAGTTGTGCAGCTGCAGCTGGCACTCCGCATTGATGGTGAGCCTGTGGGAGAGTCAGAGTCACTCTGGGGACAACACCAGGCCTAGGCACCTGCGCAAAGCTGTAGGGTGGCTGAGGTAGCACAGCGCAGGAAGTGGGGAGGGCAGGCACTGAAGCAGGCTCTATCCTGGCAACCGCGTGAACTCAGTGAGGCCCCCTGGTTGCTTTTCAGTTGTTTATTTTGTTTTGCTTTTAACTATCAGTAGTAGAGAGAACTTCAATTAGTAAATTCCAACTGTGTCTACAAATCCACGCCAAGTTAGAAAGGAGGAAATAAAGCAACTGTTGTTTTATAAGTCATTGTTTTCAATCTGTTTAAATGAAATACTTCCTCCCTTTGAAACTGGCATATCTGTCCAAATGAGCATTATGCCAAAATCAACCCACATGGATGAGGTAGGGGACTTCCTGCTTAGACAATGCCCTGTCCTTGGAGTGGCAGGTGGTGGCCCTACTAAGTGAGTATTCCGCATCCTTCCCAAGCCCCTGAGTCAGGATTCCTACTGAGAAACCCAGGACCAGCCAGCCTTCCATTCTGGTTTCCTGAGGGCCAGCTTCATTTCACAATCTCCTTTTCATTGCTCTAAGACCGATGACACACCCATCACGCACCTGAAATGCAGCTCTTCCGGTGCACTTTATGAACCAACCTCCTTGTACTGGCTTTTAAAAAATTATTATTATTGCTGTTTTTCCCTGTGGGGAAAACGATTCTTCCCCTGAAACTTTAACGCTCTCCTGTCTTCGGCTGGTTTTGACGTTGTCTGTACTTACATTTATGCTCTGGGCACTTGCTGAACACTTGGAGTCACAGGTTTCTCCTCAGGACCACAGGCACTGTAATTAAAAGCTCGTGGCGCTGTGTGTGGGTTGAGGAAGAAGAGCACTAGCGGCTCCGAGAAGGTGCTCTGCGGGGAGCTCGTGAGGCCCCGAGCGGGGAGGGCACTGCACAAGGGCCAGACGAAGGAGGGAAGTGTAGCGTCCCCGAGCCAGCTGAGTTCAAAATGCCTCTCAGCCTACAGAAGACAGGAATGTGGCTGCAGGAACCTAGGGCTTAGAAGGGATATTCTGGCACACGGGAATCTGCCTTTCAAGTCTTGGGGATGGATGCACCCAGCCAAGGGGGATGGGGGGAGTGACGGAGGCCAGGTGCTGAGGCAGGAAGGGCAAGAGGAGGACAAAAACCTCAAGGGCAGGGGCAGGAGGCGCAGGAAGGAGCAGGTGCCTCTGAGGGCAGGAACGCAGACTGTTAGAACAGCAGGGTGTGCAGTGCTCCTGGGGGATCAGGAAGACATGGAGCAATGCCCTCTGAAGTTTGATGCCACAGGATGCCACTCTGGCACTGGACAAGCGGAAGGGCTGTCAGAGGCGGGCGTCAGTGGTGTGGTGCAGTGTGCAGTGTCTGTGTGCTCAGTTAGGCTGCGACAGTTCAGTTGGGTAGGGAGCCTGTGGAGGCACCTAGCTCGGCGTGCACCAGTCTGCTGCAGGGATTTTGCAGGCCAAGCTACTCCTCTGAAGCACAGTTTGTCACTTCCTTGGGTTTCAGGGAGGACCGCCCGACCGTCAGGAGGACTCTGCAGGGTAGTGCCTCCTCCACCACGGAAGCGTGGGGAGTGACCACTGCACCCTGTGCTCCTGGGGTCTCTAATTTGTTTTTGTCCCTTTTGCAGTGCTGGGGATGAAACTCGGGGCCCTGCACATGCTAGACAAGTGTCAAATGTGGTTACTGCTACATGTGTTAAGTCAGACTCAAGCCCATCTCTATGCTCCTAGCTGAATGGACACATGAGGTAAAATATATGAGATAATTTCAAAGCCATCTTCCTGCAGAAGTGAATTTGAACAAAGGGATGGTTCTGTTCTCATTGCAGATCATGTATGTTTCATTTTCACACACATGGTGCTAGGACAATTTTTTTCAGGATGCTATACAGTATGTCAAACATGAGAAATAATATAACAGCAGTAAAAATAGGGTCTCATGTCCATAATAATTTTAATTAAGGATCTAAACTTAGACCATAAATCACTAATAGACATGGACAGCAGAAGTTGGCTTCAGTGTTTTATAGCATGGTAGTTTATAATTTATAATGCATTTCAAAATTACTAGAAGAGTCCAAAAATTCCAAACATAGAACTGATGGCTACTGGAGGATACAGAAAGGCTAACTGTCCTGATTTGATCAGTGTGCCTTGTATACATGCCCTGAATTATCACACTATGCCTGGTCAGTGTGCGTAAATGTTATGTGTTGATTAAAATGTTTAAAGGACAGCCACGCGGCATCTCACCTTAAAGTGTACAGAATTTTCCCATCATTCCAGATTCTGAGAAGCTGATTGGGGGTGGTAATCCAGTGAGCCTCTGCTGTTTTTGAATTACGGAAGATCGTGTCTGGGATCCAAATCAAGCCCACCATGTTGCTGTTCAGAGTAAGTATTTTCATGGTGCTGTTGAATCGAAGGCGACTGTCGGTCCAGGTCTGAGCAAAAAATATATCAATTTGGTATTCCTGAAACACAGCAAAGAAGAGACAGGCAATTCTCTTAGTAAATCTTCCATATGCTTCATTTTCTTTGTCGTAAGTTTGGGTTTCCCCCATGGTTACATTCTCACCTGCCACTCCTCCTTTGTGAGTGACTAATACACTGCCTGTTCTGACACAGTAGTATGCAACAAATGAAAGCCAACACTGTAAGTCAGCAGTGTGAAAACATGTGATGTAATATAAAACTTGGTAAGTCCTAAACTATAAGAGACATAGAAAGTATGAGGAGGAGCTGAATGAGACAGCAGAATGGACTTCAGCCATGTATGCAGACTATTCACAAATCCCAACACTGAAAGCAGTGTGACCTACGACAGTTTATGTTCTGTAAAACGAGGGAAATCATGTCTACCTCCTAAACGTATTACAAAGAAAAAGGGAAATAATAGAATGCAAAACTCTAGTGTCTAGCATAAACACAGTGATCCATAAATAGTAGCTTACATAATAATATCTATTGTTATTCAAACAGGTAAAACCAAAAACCATAAAAATCAGAAAATCAAGCAAGAGCACAGAACTACAGTATAGAGATGACAGCACTCAAGCCGGAGGCCGGCCCCAGCAGAGAGGTGCAGGCCTTCCAGTCCAGAGGCAAAAGCAGGGCACCGGCAGGTTACAGGCCTCACAGTACCCACTAAGACACTGCAGTGGCCATCAGAAAATGAAGACAGGCCTGATATCACAGAAGGACCTACAGACTACCTCTAAATAGGCCCACTCAGAGACCACTTCCTAATCACAGTGTAAAGAGTTACCCAGGGTAAGAAGGATGGAGAGCATCAGAGACTCTCTGATGCTAGAGACTTTAATGCTTCTAATATTTTCATAGTTCCCATTATTCATGAGATATTACAGTATTACAGAATTCAGGAACTACCAAGAATTTCCATAGCTATCCTTACTGCTGAGTTTCCAGTTAAAGAGTCTTCCTATGTACTACGACAGATTTATGATGCAACTTGCACTGTATTACTGATTGGTTCGCTCATACTGGCTCTGCCCAGCTCTGCAAACCATCAGCAGCTCAGTAGATGCCAAAAAGAAAACTCCTGGCCTCACAGAGCTTGCCTTCTAGCCGGGAAGAAAGGCTTCACAGAAACATGCAGCTCAGAAATGCAGCGTGTCCGACAGTCATACACAGTATGAAGAAACTAAGGCTGCTTATCACTTAGGTTCTATTTAAGAGAACAAAGGGCAGCTGCTAGGGTGTGACTGCCCAGTAAAGCTTCATGAGCTAGGAATCCCCAAATTCACATACTGCGGGCGTTCAGGCATTCAGAGTTGGGGCTTTTGGGCAGTAGCTACAAATAAAGGTGGGGCTTCCATGATGACATGAGTAGCTTTACAAAAAGAAGAAGGATCTCCTGCCACAGGGTGCCCTCCACCACACGACGACACAGCAGGAAGGCTCTGCCCAGATGCTGAGAGAATGCCAGGGCCATGGTTTGGCCTAAGCAGGCTCCAGAATCATGAGCCAAATAAACCCCTAATCTCATTTTGAGTGACCCAGCCCCAAGTATTGTGTCATCGCTAGAGAAACTGAACTGAGCATCCAAGTGTTCACTGGAAGAGGAACTATGTTTGTTTGTTTTTTGTTGTTGTCGATTTTTGGAAGAGGAATTACGGTGCAGGGAAGCTGAGGCTTGTACAAGCATTTGAGTAGCCAGGGAGCGAATGACACGGAAGCAGTGGCAGGGAGCAGGTTACTAAAGATCTACAGAAGCCTCAAGGCAGTGTGGCTCTTCACCACATCAGGACCCGTGTGACACTCAGCTACCAGGGTTTGTATCTGGATGACCCCCTGAAGCCGCATGTGCTCACAGCTGGGGCTTTGCGGGGTGACGGGACCATGGGGTACGGTACTCCTCAGTGGCTGCTCCGCTGAGGAGATTACAGCTAAGTGTGGTGCCAGGCGGGGAAGCCTGCTTGCAGGAGGTGGGTCGCTGTGCGCTGGCCTGGAAGGACCTTCTTCCGTCCTCCCTCATCTTTCTCTGCTTTCTGTTGCCATGCCACGAGCTGTTTCCCCTCCGCCATGCTGCTCTGTCGTGGAGGGGATGGGCTGTGACTGAAATGTGTGTAAGCTGTGAGCCAAAATGCACCCTTCCACTTTAGCGTTGTGGGGGTCTGCTATTGTGTCTCGGTGACAAGAAAGAACCTACGACACCACCAGACCACCACCACCGCCACCACCAGAAATCCAAGTCCGACTAAACTCGCCCCTGCAGATGAGTGGTCTCTGCCTCTCAAGCGCTTTCCAAAAATGCGTGCATGCCCTTCCTTGATGGACTTCAGTTCTAGAACCACACCCAGAAGGAAGGTCTGAGAGGAACTGTGCATTCATTGGCGCATGTGTGTGTGTGTGTGTAGACACGTGTGTTAGTGTGTGTTCATGGCCACAGACCTTACTCCCTGTTACATAACTCAGCATATACTGACTGATACAGAACGGGCCCACAGGTCTGCAGGCTGGTGTCACGCATGGGTGAAATGCTTGGCAATCCCAGCACCTGTAACAAGGCAGAACACGTGTCAAATGTGCGTGTAGCTCTTTCAGCAGAGACTGGAAAGGAAGGTTAATTAGCGCATGCTGACTGCTAAAGGCTGCACTTGCTAAGTTACCAAGGAAAGAAACTTCTCACAACAGAGTGGGCATTTTGAAAGCAATTATGAAAGAAAAGAAAAACAGAAATCCAACTCAGAGCCTGGGAGGGTTGGAAGGGGCAAAGCCTTCTCATCCCATCAGGAGAGGCTTATTCAGAGTTGCCAGCAGTGCCCAAAGCCTGCTGCAGCAGCTTTGCAGGAAACATCATAGCTATCACCAAAACTGCACATGGATGAGGCTATCACCCTATGAAATCTTTAGCCATGCAAGTAGCACTCAAGGAGAAAGATGGAGGTGTTGCATTCGATCGAAGCTGCAGGGCCATGTCCCCCGTGCAGTCAGCTCCCTTATCCTTGGGCTCCACATCCATGGATTTAAACAACCACGGATGGAAAATATTTCTTAAAAATTGGACCCATGCTGAACAGAACAGACTTTTTCTTGTCATTATTCCCTAAACAGTACAGTACAACTCCTTTCAAAGCACACACATTGTACTCGCTATTACAGTCATCTCAAGAAGACTCAAGTGCTTGGGGAATTGCAGAGGTTATTATGCAAACACTCAGCCATTTACAGAAGGAACCTGGGTATCTGTGCAGGTTGGTCTTAGAAAGGGTCCTGGAAATAGCCCTCCAACGCGTGCAGGGCCCACTTTCCTTAAGAGGTAAAAGATAAGATAGACAGGGAAGGTAAAAGGAGGGTGAGAGGGAGAGGTACTGACCTACCATAGCAAACGCATGCACAGACTCAGAACCATGCTGAGGAAAGAGCTGTGGAAGTGGCTGAGAACCACCTGCACCGGCAAGAAGCTGAACTTCAAGTTCTGCAAAGAGGATCACGAGTCAGAAGGATAAATGACAATAAGAGACTCTGCTGTATCTTTCAATTCCTATCTTTCATGAACAAACAACACTCTGGAAAAACTACTTCAGCCTTCAAAGGAGAGTGATTCTCCAATGCCCACTTAAAATACCAAAGCTGTTTCTGTTAAGAGTCAGGGAGGAAGCAGTCCTCACGAGCCTCACCCGGGGAGCAGCGTTAGGTGGGAGCCCACTCGGGGTCTTCCCGGGGTACTCACGGTTGTTACACGAGGGGCAGCAGCATCCCACCTCCATTCCATCCTCGCACACATGCAGCATGGAGGGAGGCCAGGAGTCTAGCTACCTGTGCTCTGGAGGGCGTAGGTCAGCCGACCACAGGGAGCCAGGTACGGACTTGGTGTTGCGGCCGAGGCACGTGAGCATGTGTGGTCATCCCTCAGTAACCTCAGGGACCGGTTCCAGAACCCCTAGTCACCAAAATGCGCAGATGCTCACGCCCCTTGTATAACATGGCACAGTAACTGTAGATAAGCTATGGACCTCCTTCCCTGAACTTCACATTCTCTCTGGATTCCTCACCATACCCAGCGCAGTGGAATGCTATGTAAATGTTTGCTGCACTTTATTGTTTATGAAATAATGAGAAGAAAAGTCTATCAGTGTTTGCTAAAGATGCAGCTGTCACAGGCTTAACTATACAACACATGAATGAGACCAAGCGAACGACTCTGTCCTAACAAGTGTGCAGACGCCGAGGACCCGTGAAGGGGCAGGCGGCCGCGGCAGGTTCCGTCCACTCATTGCTTCATCGTGTGCACTTGGCATAGGGCTCAGCGTACAGCCAACCAAATTTTGTTTCTTTTGGAATTTCCTGGAATTGTTCACATGGATTTGATCTGCAGATGGTGGAAACTGCAGCTGGGGAAACCACCCACAGAGAAGCCTAACTGTGCATGTATTTGTACACTACCTTGACCTTGGGGCTAGGTCCGGGTGACCTTTTGAGTTGCCTCCTTTCAAGAGGAGAGAAATATTTTCTCTGATGAGGGAAATGGAGACACTATTTAGGAGCTATACACAGAGCATGGTGGTCACTGGAGCTGCTTGCCGAGCCCTGTAGCTTTTCTTCCTGCAGGCACCTGCTAGAATCGCTCTGTTCAGGGACTGGTGTGAGCACCTCATTCACAGTAAGGCGAGACATGAGAAGAAGAGTGAGTGTCCCCTGTGGCAGGGATCCGAAGAGCTGGTACGGAACTCACACGCACTCTTCATGACCTGGGCCCCCGTGCGGAGCAGAGCCCCCGACAACACACGCTAGGCCCCCCACCTGGCCAGGCCACCTGGACTTGCTCGGCTCAGCTTGCCCACACCAGCTCAGACCCCAACCTGGCCAGCTGGTGTGGTGGGCAAGGAGAAAGCTTTCAGAACGGGGCCTCGAGAGTCGGGAAAGTCTCCTGGAGAGCACAACGCGCTTGATGAGCACAGAATGTGCCATGCTAGCAGACACGGGAGCAGCACAGCTTCTGCAGAGAGTT